ATATAGTTATTTAAATTATATTTTTAGGTAAAATGTTATAAAGGCTACTCAGAATTTTCTAATTAAATGATAATAATAAAAAAAGATATTTTCAACCACGACATTACTTCTTTCCAACAAAGACACCATCCCAAAACCTTTACGATCTTCCACATCCAACCTCAAATGAACACATGTTATCACTTTACCACAACCAAAAATGAAGCATGCGACTCACCTTCTTCATCCTGCCGCTACGGGTGCCAGTAAAGGCTACGGTTTGCCCGCTATAATCATATGCCGCCACTGATGTCATCCCATCATCTTTGTCCAGGAATAAAGGAATCCCCTCAATCGTAGTGGTGCCCCCTAGAGGTTGGTTGAAGTCCTGGCCACAAAAGTTGTCATCTATCTGCAGAGGCTGTGGAGAGAGATAAAAAAAAGGGAGTTATTCGAGTAGTTGCTGAGTGGGAGTTGAGGCGATGGAGGCCAATATGGCATTTTCACTCGTTTTAATCTTCGGCAATACCAATCCATTGCTCGATATTCCTTTGGGTCATTAAAGGCCATATACTGTATTTCTGTGCTAATGAATCAGCCAGAGGCCCACACTTGCACAGATATATCGCAAGATAACTCCCTGTGCTTGTGCCGTTTGAAGAACGGTTGGAAAATATAGAGGACCTGAGGGAAAATCATTCTCGGCTCTTTACTCCTTTCTACGGAAAAACTGCTCAAACGAACGTGGCCAACACCAAATGTCGCACAATGTCTCGCAATTCACTGCCTAATGCACACATGATCCGTAATCGTCCCACACAAAGACGACCGCACAATGCACAAAATGTCCCAGGAGATGTCCTCCCTGCTCTGGCCAACAGACTGGGCTCATTAGCAGAAACAAAAGTGTCCATGACCCCCACAGCCCTGCATTGCTGCCCAACGGTGCCCTTCATTCTTCACCCAGCGAGAGGTACTACTGCTGCCAAGGATGACCCGGTTCCAGGCAGCGGGAAGGATATTCAGGCTCGCAAACACTGTAGCGGACCAGCGCTGTGCCCTACAACACAAGAGAGGACGTCCTTTCCTAAACTCCTGAGGGATGTTGGGATTTGCACTGGAAATGGAACGAACAGAAGGGGATTGGACAAACAGACCACGTGCATCCCTAAGGTTAGTGACTGTCTGGGTTACACTGACCCATCATGCACCTACTGTAATTACAGTCGGCCTGCACCCAGGTGCGGGCAGGACTAATCACCAGAGAGAAAACTTTGTTGCTCTCTGTTCGCAGTTATTGCCGCTAGGTGTTATTCTCAGTTAGATGAGGAAACATTATGTTGGCAGAGTTAATGACGCTGGTAATGGTGGTTAATGCAAGCCAACCAATGATGCTGGAAATACCACTTGCGTTAGCAAAGCTCGAAAAGTGCTGGCAAAGACAAGGTCGTGGAGACAAACTACGCCTAATGGTGTGTACCGAGTGGATGAATCCAGCCTGGATAACGGCAATGCCCCCGGTGAGTCAGTGTTGTGCAAAATTCAGAACTAAAGAATCAAAATATTACAGAAAGTTGAACTGGAGTGGCAGGAAGGGGAAATTACTGAATTGCAATATAAATTAATTTAAAACAGGTGATCCACCATAACATCTATCCATCATTCTCTCCATTCATCTATCATTCAATCTATCCATATTTCCATCTATTGTGCTATCATCTACTCTATCTTTCCATCTACCATCTAACTAACATCTATACATCCATCCATCCCCCTGTTTGCTACCTTCATTCATAAGGAAATGCTACATTGGTATACAGGTATATCACTAAATAAGCATTTTTAAAACACAGTCAACCAAGAAATCACATACACTGCTGAAATACATACCTCCTATTCAGAATCCCATTTGGGAACCGTAGAAATAACAGGGCAGTCACACATAGCTAGTGACCGTGACACCCATCATGCCGTAAATTGATCGTCTGCCGAAAACTGATTGCCGTCCACGTCTGTCCGTTCGTTTTACACTTGCCAAAAAGTGATTACAGACTCTACTTATTGAGTGAACTGTTCATTCTGCCTCAAAATGACTTGATTTCATTCATGGTTGTTATATTTGACAGATTATAGCTCATTCAGACCTTTTTACCTGTTGTAATACATTTTGACAACAACCATGACTGAAATCAAGTCATTCTGAGGCAGAAAGAACAGTTCACTTTTTGGCAAGTGTAAAACTGCATTTTATGGGTTTTATTGGCCATTTAAAAGGTATTTCAACAGGTAAAAAGGTCTGAATGAGATATAATCTGTCAAATATAACAACCATGAATGAAATCAAGTCATTTTGAAGCAGAAAGAACAGTTCACTCAATAAGTAGAGTCTGTAATCACTTTTTGGCAAGTGTAAAACGGACGGACGAGGACGGCAATCAGTTTTCGGCAGACGATCAATTTTCGGCAGGACACCAGCAATGATGCATATCTATCAGAGGTTCTACAATATGCCTCATGCAGATTTCTTCTTTTTCCCCTCCTTAACTCAAATTACAGCCTCAATCTGGGGGGAAAGGAGATGAAATGATGACTAAACAAGGCCGCAAGGTGGACTGGTGCTAGACGGAGGAAAGTGTTCGGTGCAGAATGTTTTAGGTGGGAGGGGAAGGGAGGAGACGGGTGTCCTGACCCAAGAAAAAATCTCATCTCTCCCATAAATCTCTGGTTTTGGAGAAGGGTGTTAAGAGACACGGACATGTTAACAAGTTAAAGACCTTAAACACCAAGCGACCGCAGTTTCTTGGGCTGGACTGAGACTGTCACTTCAATATCCATGGAACGTGAGGGGGATGACAGCTGAGATGGAAGGGGGCTGAAATGCCTCTGACAGAATGGACAGGAAGGAGATGCTTCAGAATCCAGTCAGAGAGTATGAACCTCAAAAACTTAAATGAACCCATCTGTACTGTTCCCGCTGAAGATCAAACTGACCCTACATGATAAAATCAAAGCACATTTGCACATTGCACATGCATAAATCTGTCTAAAAATACCCCTCACAGCATGGAAGGTCTAAGACAAGAAGGCTGTTGTGTAAATGTATTATCTAATAAAACTTTTTTTTTTGCTGATGACTAAGCACAAACCTCAAAGTGTCCTGATTTCAAGTTAGTTCCTGATTTCAAGTTAGTGGCCCGATGCAGACCAGTGGGAAACAGGAATGTGATGCTAACTCACCTCTGCTCACACACACACACACACACACACACACCTTAGAGAGCAGCTGTAATCCTTATGTCTTATCGTTACACCATCTGATCGATCTCACAGCAGAAACAATCCAAGTCTCTCCTCTATCAGTCCATCTCTTTTTTTCTGCTCTCTCCATCCGTCCAATGATAGTCTTAGGGATCTATGAGGGAGGCAGGGCTTGACAGAGGGGGATGTGATAGACAGACTCGTCTCAAAGGGTTAATCTGGCAGCATGTTTTAGAAATGCCGCAGGCCTGATCCAGAGAGACCAGGTACTTTGGAAGAACATACAAAGGAGAGATACAAAGTTCTCAGTCCTGTTTTTTGAGAGCTAAAAACAGGTATGTTCACTCACAGTTTAGTTATAAACAAGAGTGAGAGCTGCATTTTATAACCAAATTGAAAGGTTTTTTTTCAGGACTCATGCATGGATTTTTAAAACCAATAACTATGGTTTCGCTTCAGTTATTTGTTCATATTCATCAGTTCATCATTCTGTAATTCATTATTATATATAGTCAGAGTCCACATATATACAAATATATAAAGAGTTCCAAAGTTTTCTAATTTATAATAATTTACAGTTTGTAATTATATTTATAAATAGCATGCATAAAAACAGCATTCATAAATAATATATTTATAAATATTAAAGTACATTTATATATTTTTTTAAATACACAAATATTTAAATATATACACACAATGCATTTATAATTATAATAGTTTTATAATCAAGTAATATTAATGTATTTTATAACGATACTATATTTAAATATATTTAGAAATGGTATTTATATAAATATCATAATATTAAATAATATTAAATTTTTTAATAAACATTAATATCGTAACAAATTATGTTTTAAAACTAAATATCAGTTTTAAAATTAATTTATAAAAAACTTAAGTTTGTAAAATATGTATTTATAATAGGAATACTGTAACATTCAATTGCCTTTTTATATACATGTATATTTATTATATATAAATATATATGCATAAGAATATAAAACTAATATAATATAATCTAAATAAATATATTTATTAACTTATTCAATTGTATTATATTTCACAAAGAAAAAAAACAAAGTATATCCCAAAATCAACAAGAAAAATACACTAAAACACTTCTTCCTCAAACTGCTGATCGTCTATAGAGCTGCTCATTTGTGTTCAAAATGAATCCTTATTTGTGTACTAGGGTATGTAACAAGGTGGGCGGCCATGTGCGTGTGTGCATGTGTGTGATTATCCTTAAATGTGTTTGTGCTGATGCGTGTGTATGTGTGCACTTGTCCTTAAATGTGTTTGTAGATGTTGGAACACATAAATGAAGATAAAGAGAGGCTGCCAAAATCTTTGGACGCATTGCCTAAGAGAAAGAGAGCGAGTGAGCGAGGACAAGAAGGCTGTTGTGTAAATGTATTATCTAATAAAACTTTTTTTTTTGCTGATGACTAAGCACAAACCTCAAAGTGTCCTGATTTCAAGTTAGTTCCTGATTTCAAGTTAGTGGCCCGATGCAGACCAGTGGGAAACAGGAATGTGATGCTAACTCACCTCTGCTCACACACACACACACACACACACACACCTTAGAGAGCAGCTGTAATCCTTATGTCTTATCGTTACACCATCTGATCGATCTCACAGCAGAAACAATCCAAGTCTCTCCTCTATCAGTCCATCTCTTTTTTTCTGCTCTCTCCATCCGTCCAATGATAGTCTTAGGGATCTATGAGGGAGGCAGGGCTTGACAGAGGGGGATGTGATAGACAGACTCGTCTCAAAGGGTTAATCTGGCAGCATGTTTTAGAAATGCCGCAGGCCTGATCCAGAGAGACCAGGTACTTTGGAAGAACATACAAAGGAGAGATACAAAGTTCTCAGTCCTGTTTTTTGAGAGCTAAAAACAGGTATGTTCACTCACAGTTTAGTTATAAACAAGAGTGAGAGCTGCATTTTATAACCAAATTGAAAGGTTTTTTTTCAGGACTCATGCATGGATTTTTAAAACCAATAACTATGGTTTCGCTTCAGTTATTTGTTCATATTCATCAGTTCATCATTCTGTAATTCATTATTATATATAGTCAGAGTCCACATATATACAAATATATAAAGAGTTCCAAAGTTTTCTAATTTATAATAATTTACAGTTTGTAA